CTCTTTATAAAGTAATCCATGCCTAAGGAAATGGAGTTTTAAGCGATCATCATGATCCTCTCATTTCCTGTGAAAATCGGGTTCTAAGCGATCATCGGATCCCCCCTTTTCTTGTCAAACAGGTTGTGTTCTAAGGAGATGTATATCTCTCCTAAGAGTCTTACGAGTGTACTTGTATTGAGGGTAAGGTCTGTCTTGCTTACCTTACGTTTTTGTTTGATATTCATCAGCTGTCGCTTACCAAGAGAAGAAATTTAAAGGGAAGATGCAGAATATCTGTCAGCTATGCCTTGTAGGTGCGCAGTGGCTTGATCAACATGACCTTGCAATGTGGATGTTTCATAAGGACGGAGGTACCAGATGGGGTATTGTCACAACGAACTCAAGCGAAAGTATCAACAACGTCTACAGGGAATGTCGTGCACTCCCCATCTTTGCAATTGTTGAGATGACATTTTGGACAACAAACGGATGGTTTGTCAACCGTCTCCACTGGTGTGAGAAGAGGGAGGCACGGGGTAAGGTACATTCCGATCACTATAAGTTGATGATTTATAAAGAAGAATTTAACTTTCACTATAAGTTGATGATTTATACATATATAAACATATTATAAGATGCAATATTAATTAAATCAAGGTTGTTTTAGAGAAATATACATTATCTAATAAACATTAAATAACTAAAATAATTTTCGAAATTTAAGTACAATTATTTTTTGTACACATACACATAAAATCAAATATATTATTTGTTAATCGTATTGATTATTTTCAATAATTTAAAGCAATACAAGTACACTCGTAAGACTCTTAGGAGAGGTATACATCTCCTTAGAAACACAGTCTTTTTGAGAGAAAAAGGGGGGATCCGAGGATCGCTTAGAATCCGATTTTCCCAGGTCATGGAGGGGTCATGATGATCGCTTAAGTCCCCATTTTCTTAGACATGCATTTCTTTATAAAGAGTCTAAATAAGTGTTGTATTGTATTGATTTAAATTATTGAAAATAATCAATACGATTAACAATTAAGTAAATTATTATACAAACAAATAAATTACTATAACAAAATACAAATTACAAGTGATGATAAATAATATGTACCTTGTGGTCGTTCCAAACGTCTCTTGAACGATGATTGGCTGATCGTATAAAATAGTCCGATCAATCGGTCCTTGATCAATATAATATCGTTGATTTTATAAATCAACATCCGGCCCAACCTACGATAGCATAATAACAAAATAAATCAATTAGTATATAAATTAAATAAATCATTATAACAACAACAACAATTGGGTAAAATGAGTATGTACCACTTGATAATCATCATAGTAAATACCCTTTTCTTGGATAAAATCGGCCATTTTTTCAGAATCCGGACAAAGATTCGACGGTTTTTTAGTGAAAACCAAAGAAAAAGTTTTTTGAAGGCAGATCGGACTTAGCCGCAACCATCAAAATAACTAATTCTAAGGTCTTTGGTTGGGGAGGGGGGGTGGGTAGAGTGAGGAGTTAGAGAGGGGGGAATGAAGTTTGGTGTGGAGAAAATGGGAGGGGTAAGGGGTTTATATAGGGACGAAACCGCGTGCTCGAGGGGCGGTTTTGCCTTTTTACCCCACCTAAAACCGCGCCTCTATCGCGCGGTTTACGTTCCCCAACGCGCAAACCGCGCCTCGGGGGAACGGTTTGACTGAGCGACGCGGATCCCTGAGCTGGCGCGCGGTTTGGCCATCAAATCGCTTCCCCATCGCGCGGTCGCATGAGCCGCCACGTGGCAACGCGGTTTGACAGACAGGAAGGGTCAAACCGCATATGAAACGTGCGGTTTGACTGTGAACCGCGCCTTCGAGACGCGTTTTGATTTAATGTCAAGGGTCGTAAAAGATTTGATTTCATACCACTATCTATTATAAGAATACATTTTTCTTGATGGACAAATATATATTCATGTAGATCGTATACCATATTATCATTACACAAATATCATATTCTCCGCTGAGAGGACGTCCTCCTAATAATAGGTGGGAGAACCTTATTTTTCTGCTTCTTGAGGCCTGCTCTTTCAAATCAATGTCAAGGGTCGTCAAAGGACCGCAGTCTACACTCTATTGGCGAATATGAGGAAGAGGAGAGTACTATTTCATATCCCTCCGAATCCAAAAGACATTTTTTCATGAATTTCATTATTAAAAAAGCAATTACAAGTTTACACAAATATCTATAAAAAAACTTATGCATAGTATTGGTTTTGGTGATAGTTAAATTAATTGATTATGATCAATGCATGTGCAGTACTATACATGTAATTAACAAAATTGGTTTATTGTAGTTTACATTGTTTAATTTTTCTCAAACTGATTGTAGTATTTAATTAAGTTATATTACTTTTTAGATGAAATTGTACTTTTAGTATCTTTTATTTTTAATATAATACGCAATGCAAATGAAAAGTTATGGTAAAGCTGGAACAAAATAAAACCAAACTATCTCAACAATCTCAATTAAATTATGATATTTAATTATCACTTATTTGAAGTTACAGTTTCTATCATATCAAGCAAACAATGCTTGTATTGTTTGTGCAGAAAATTAAAAAACAAAATCGGATGCAATCCATACTATACAAACATTTTAACAATCTCAACCAAATTATCACCAAAACAAACAACACCGACAAAACTCAAAAGAAAGAAAACAAAATCTTTGAACCTTAAAATTCCATAAATTCGCGATTTAAAACTGTAAAATCTTTAAAATCTAAGATTTATACAATTTTGTACGATTTCAAAGTTCATGTCAATTAGAGCAAAATCAGGTCGGTCAGGTCGAATTTCGTCCATGAACTGGGTCTGGCTCACTTCCCTCGACCCAACATCATGAACAACAAAACCTTAACACGATAGGCAACCCTCAATGGATTGTTATTCTCTTCCTCTTCCACACCCCGCAACAAACTCCTTCCATCAATAATTTCCTCCACCATCCCAATTAGCTCGTAGTTTGTTCTCCACCACCTTCGCAATTAGTACAATCCTCATTCCCTTGCAAGCTTTTATTCATCTCCCTAACCTTCAGCACCACCATCCTCGAACTTTTTTTGATCAAGAAGAGAATGCATCAATCAATGAATTACCTTTGTCACATGATGATGATCAAGGAAATATGATTAATGGTGAAAGTACGTCATTGAGAATAATTATGTCATTGTTTAAGCAAATAGACAAGTATTCTATGAGAATGAGAGTGACAGTGAGGATGTTGATGTGTGAGGGATGTTAATGTTGATCTAAATGATCTTATATGTGTGATTTTCTACTTTAATTTATCAATTAGATACAGTGATTTTTATGAGGTTTCAGGTTGTTTATTGGTGTGTTTTTGACTTTTTGTTATGTACAATAATAAATCTATGGAAATATTTGTATTTATTTAACATACAAACTTATCTTAGGAAGTAATTAAGTTATATGTGGTTGATTGTTATTCAGGATATTCGTTGTTAATACTATACGTTGTTCTAAGTGTTTATTTTGATATGAACGTTAAAATCTTACAATTTTACGATTTTAATCTGTGATTCAAATTTTATCTAATTTTTTATTTTACATAAAATAACGATCTTGACTGCATTACCACTCATACCACATGTTACCACTCTGGTATTACCCTATATCGCTTTCGTTTTCTCACTCAAAATTTTTTTTAAAAAATTGCACAAAAAGGAACGAATTCTTTCTGATCTATTGGATCTACAAATTTCTAGGGAAAAACAATTTCAAACTCAAATATACTAGCATGGTATAAGGTAGTAGTCGATGATGAAAAGTGGTAACTAACGTTACCAATTAGTATATTTCTACTATCACGTATTCAGTCATTCTACCGTATGATATATTCATACAATCACTATATACTTTCATACCACCATGATAATAAATGTCTCAATTTTCATTCCAAAATATATATATATGTCATTTTGAAGATCACAATTAATGTGATTTTCTATGCAATAAGGTTTGAGTTATGACTTAAAAAGAAAGAGATATAGCTCATTAAATTGAGAAAATATTTAATTTCTTTCATAAACTGAGTGTTATATATGTATTACCCAGAAACCTCAGTCTCACGTGTCACTTTGTGACAACGGGGCCTACTAAACCTGGGGGTCACTTGCAATCAATTCGACGCCAACGAGACCTCGCCCCCAGAAATCTCATAACTCCGTGAACACCAACAGTCCTCGCTTGGATCGAACCTGAGATCTGCAACTCCCAAACCTTCACTATTGCAGCAGTTTTATCATTAGGCTATCTTACCTTTGGTGTGAGTGTTATATATGACTATGCATATACGTTTGGAGATGACAAAATCAGACCAAAGCAAAGTGAATGTTATGTAGGTTTGGTCTTTGGTTATGAGATGTCTTTCACTTATTGGACCGCAGTTATCATGAGTTTGGTCCTGACCAGACCGAACCATTGCGCACTCCTATCGCTAGGAGAAAATGAGCAAACGGTGCACATAGGATAGGAGTTGATTGTTGAACGAAAGAGGCATAACATTCTCAGTGAGTTAAAAACTAGTAAACGACAACGTAATAAGAGAGCGAAAATTAGCCTTTCGGTTGAACCACCGATATTTCGGGAATTGATGATTCTGAACGGTTTTGACTGCAACAACATATCAGTGGTATTCTATCCCATTTCATGATCAATACCAATTAAACCAGGTTTAATTGAGCGACATACCTTGATGTTAGCTTACCACCCGATCCAGTTCATAACTTTAGTTCCTGTGAAAAAAAAAAAAAGGAGAGAGAGATTAAGTTAATGTTTTATATTGGAAAAGCAAAACTTTTCTTTTTCTTTATGGGCTGGCTGAATCCGTCTATAAATCACTTTCTCCAAACGATGGGAAGTGTTTAGTTCCCAGTTCACACAACTCTGCTCTCAACAACCCATCCCTGCTCCACGAGCTGTTCTCTGCTTAACCAAAAATGGCTGCCGCCTTGAAAGTGACCCTGAAGCTCCTAGTCGACAAGAAGAGCCACAAAGTACTGTTTGGAGAAGCAGGCAAAGAGTTTGTTGATTTCCTCTTCACCATCCTCTCACTCCCTCTAGGCACCGTGACACGCCTCTTCTCCAAGAAGTACTATGGTAGGCTGTCTTGGCAACTTGTGTTAGAAATCGAACAGGAAAGTTAGAGTTACCGATCTGGCTGAGTCGCGGACTAGGTCGCTCTCTTTAAGACGTTCGCGGCACTGCCTTCGTTGCGCACGGCAGACTATCAGCCGGTCGCCTCCAGGATAAAACAGTCATTCTAATTTTGTTGCTCATCGGTTTTGTGCGAAAACCGGAGCTCTATGAACTCACTCTCTTTCTCGTGTTTCTGCTCTCTGAGGGTGTGTTTAGAGGGTCTGGGGCGTCTCCTATTTATAGGAACAGAAAACCCAAAATATTCCCTCTTTCTTTGGGAATAAGTCATATTTTAATTATGGAGATAATTACTCCCATAATTAAAATATAATCTATTAAGATAATTATTCCTAATTATCTCCATAATATTCCTTTTATTAATTATCCATCTTAATTTCGTATTATGGGAAAATACTCGATAGTGATTCAACGGAAAAAAAAAAATTACTGGATAATTAATTAGGAATTTCATTATAGCTTTTCAAAGCTATTCATCCCAACAATCCCCCACTTGAATAGTTTGAAACTAGCATCAACAGTTCCATAAGATCGGGCATAAGCTAAGGTATCGCGAAGATTTGAACCTTAGCGTAGCGGTTACACTTCCGATTTCATAAGGGTGACTCGTAATCTTGAACCCTATCTCAGACAATGTAGCACACCGGATCTTTTCATTGAGTGATATTCTCTCATAGGCCGTGCGTTTATGGCCATGCACGTTATCCCGGTTTAGTGAACGCTCTAGCAACTTTGTGCCTCCAAAGTTCCATAGGGAGCGGCCCCACTCCCACATTCACATAGGTGAGTCTATCAGAAGTACCCCCAAAGTAAAGTACTTCACTCCACATAGAGTATAGATCTCATTAAGAGTTTAACTCAACCTCCAAGGCTTTGGGATTCATGCTTCACTATGCATGAACTTTTCTCAATATTACTCGTGACTTGTTATTACCCATTGAACCCGTTTCTTGGGATCTCCAGTCTATCGGGTCGGGTTACCATCACTTGTAATCCATGGTTCGGTAGGCATAAGTCTCATACCTTCGTGGTATTTTGGACTTTTCTCTCTAGATGATACTTTCGTCAAAGGATCAGCTAGATTCTATTAGGATCTTATATGATCCACCCTCTTTGCTCCTATCATTAGGAGTTCTCTTACAGTACTGTGCTTACGACAAATTTGTCGTCTCTTTTCGTTCTAGAACCGGTTCCCTTCTTTTGTAATAGCTGCGGTGCTATCACAATTAATCAACTACCGGATGGATCGGTCTTTCCCATAAGGGAATCTCTAGTATTGACCCTCTCAATCAACTTTCCTCTTTACTAGCCATTGCTAGTTCTATCATTTCTGATTCTTAGTTGATTGAGCCAGGATCGTTTACTTCTTAGACTTCCAAGACATAGCTTCTCTATCGATGTTTAAAACACAGCCTCTTGTTGTCTTGGAGTCCTCTATAGGGTATTCTAATCCGCATCATTATACCCTACCAATACAGCAAAACCTTTGATAACAAATACCAAGGTTTTTCTGTTCTTTTAAGGTGTCTCATGACCCCTTTCAATAGCATTTCAATGCTTCATACTAGGACAATCAGTAAGCCTGCCAAGTACCCCCACTATATCGGGTCTCATGTTTATCAGTTGCCTCTCGCAGACTGTAGATGCTAGTATATTCTAACTTTCTTACACCGTCTTTGGTGTTCTTTAAATATTTATAAGAGCATCATCAAACATGTATGCAGGTGTACATCTTGTATTTTCCTAGTTATTAGGATCTCTAAGCATAACATTTGTTTCATTCAGATCCTTCACATTCAACCATCATGGTTTTTCAATATTGACATCACGAGTCTTTGTACCAAAGATCGACGTGTCATTCTCAAATTTGTACTAAATGCACTTGTCACTTTCACTTTTAAAACCATGAGAGAGAACCAGTTTATTCATGCCATCGTCTTAGAGTCTATTTCAAATCTTACAATGATTTGTCTAACTATAGACTCCCTAAGCATGTTCAGCAATAACAACCCTATAGGTTGTCCCATGTAGATTTTCCTTTCTAAATCACCATTCGCAGAAACACGTTTAACAATCCATCTAACGCACAACACTAGCAATCAGAACATACATGGATGTTATTCTACATATGGTGAATAGATAACAAGAAAATTTACAATTTTTCCTTTTTGCTTAAAGCCTTAGCTATTGGGCGATCCTTATACTCATAAACTAAACCATCAGGTTTCAGTTTTCCTTTTAAAAATCCATTTATTACCCATGACTTCATTGCCAAGAGGTAATTCTCAAAGATGCCAAATCTTGTTCGATACTATCGATATATTACCCAAGGCTTTTCAACCAAGAGGTAACTCTACAAGATTTTAAGTCTTATTAGACTCCAATAATTCCATTTCGTTAATAATGGATTCTCCCACTATTCTGCATCTTTATGGAAGGTCGAACTTCTAGCAGACTGGTAGGATCTTTCTTTCTTAGGGTGTAAATAACAAATTCATAACCAAAATCCTTTCGTGATTTATGGTTCATTTGTTTCTTCTGAGTTTAAACTCAGATTTACTACCCCCACTAGTTCCATTATTTCTAATAGTATGCAGGACACTACCCCCACTATTTCTTGATTTAAAATGGAAGTTTCTTGGCATTAACGGATTTCACAACAACATGAGTATTTCGTTTCATAGGAACTATGTGTTTTTATTGTTAACAACATAAAACACACTCATATGCTCTTCTAGTTATCATGCTACACTGATTTTCTAACGCTACCACATGCATGCCACATATCAAATAATCAGTGCAGTCATAATGCAATTAGGCATTTCAAATAACTAGTCAGACAATCAGAGCACTCTAAAGAGCAATAAATTGTTTATTGTCTTTTCCATCAAGTTTACCCACATAAATCAGATCTATTTATTCTGATTCTCTAATCACAAATTTATGGGTCTTTTAGCTTGGATATAGAAAATTCTCAAGCATCAAATGATAATAATATGGGAATGCGACATAAGATATTCTAATTCTTCACACAGACACACTTGGAAGAATTTATCTTATCTACTTAACCATTCCTTACATCTAGGATAGTCAATGACTTTCCAGAGGTAAGGTTCTCTTCCACTTTCCAGGAGCATCAACAATAGTGATGAAGGCAGAACCCAACAACACTTTCTTCTCACGCATCAATACTGTATGATTGAGCTTAACTCGTTTATCATACAAATGCCTTGAGGCATCATTATCCAACAACCATTCTTTAGAGTTACCATAATGGTCATCCTCTACTACCAAATCCTCTTCTTTACTCAAGTTAAAGATGATACCATGTTTAACTTGTTCATACACTTTCGTGTCATATGACCTAGTTTCCCGCAATCATAGCAGAGAAAAAATAGCGTCATTCTTAGAGGATTGGCTGGCAATCTTTTGATTACCACGAAGAGTCCCATTCTAATTGGTATGAATCTGGTTCGGCTTGCTGCTCTCATTCTTGAAACTTTAATGTTTCATAGCAGCCTAAGTGGTTCGTGTAGTACTAATAATAGTACTTCTTACAATATCATTATTATGGGCAATAAACCCATTATATTCCCATATATTCTTCACATATATGCATGCATCAATACTCCATAGCATGTATTCAATTTATGCTCTAATCATCGAGGTAATACACCTCAATATCGACATGCATCAATTCTATTTTACTAGTATATTTATCATAGAATATGCGTTCATATATGCTCCAGAGTGTGCAATCATGTAATCAAAATTACTCTATTCCACAACATGTACCCAAATTGGTACTCTAATTATTTGAAGAAAGCACAATTCAGCGTCAACATATGAAACCTCAATTCTAGCCTCTTTAGAAGATTTAACTATTCCATGCATAAAGTTATATGACATGGGTTCTATAAAATCATCATTTAATGACTCACGAGTGAGGTTAAGGTCATTACCTCTTTACTAAGTCACTCCCTTCTGATTCGTAACGAATAGCTAGCTTTGGCTTAGCTTCCAAATTGGTGCCTCTTTTTGTCCTTTATAGAAAGCTTCTACATATAAGAATTTGAATGGAGGCTTCATGAAAAACAAAGAACGACGCCAGAGCCAGGCGGAACTTGGACCGGGGCTCTCCTTTCTTGGCCCGAAACGGATTTTAAATAAAAGGATCTGGCCTGTATGATTGCTGACTCAATAGCTTTCTTAGTTATGAGTCCCATTTCGGCCCAGCACTTTCTTCGCCGTTAGCCGAAGGCATTTGTCCTGGGAGTCCAGCCCGGTGCAATACATTAGCTGCGGTAGGGCCCAAGACCCGCCACCATTCTCCGTGATAGAAAAACCTGTCGGGTTAGAGCTGATCATGAATTCCATGACCTACCCACTTCTCCCGTCTGGGCGCCACCGCAGTATCTTTCCATTCTTTCCGCCGTAGCCCGTGGGCTGCTCCTGCAATTGAATGAAAACTACAAAACCGCTTCCCCGGTAATTATCAGTGCCGGACCACTCAACAGAGAACATAAAGGATATATCAAAGGCAAAATCACAAATCAAATAACCGGCAGAACCACAATTCCCTCAATTTCATAACCGTCTTCAGTTGATCGACTCCCAATAGTGGGCTAGGTTCGGAAATAAAAGCATTCTGCCTGTTCCTTGTAAGCTGCTTCGTGGAGGACACAAGATCGTCAAGAACAATCGCGATGCGCGACAACCACAAATCAGTTGTTCAGATCGATCGGCACGGCGATAGTAATCCAGCCAGAATCGATTTCCTGTTTGAATCACATGACAGCAACCGACCGTCTTAAAATTGTTAGAAATCGAACAGGAAAGTTAGAGTTACCGATCTGGCTGAGTCGCGGACTAGGTCGCTCTCTTTAAGACGTTCGCGGCACTGCCTTCGTTGCGCACGACAGACTATCAGCCGGTCGCCTCCAGGATAAAACAGCCATTCTAATTTTGTTGCTCATCGGTTTTGTGCGAAAACCGGAGCTCTATGAACTCACTCTCTTTCTCGTGTTTCTGCTCTCTGAGGGTGTGTTTAGAGGGTCTGGGGCGTCTCCTATTTATAGGAACAGAAAACCCAAAATATTCCCTCTTTCTTTGGGAATAAGTCATATTTTAATTATGGAGATAATTACTCCCATAATTAAAATATAATCTATTAAGATAATTATTCCTAATTATCTCCATAATATTCCTTTTATTAATTATCCATCTTAATTTCGTATTATGGGAAAATACTCGATAATTAATTAGGAATTTCATTATAGCTTTTCAAAGCTATTCATCCCAACAACTTGTACCAGAGCATTGAAGATCTAAACGACACATTCATCCAGCCAACCCTAAACAAACACACCATTCTGAACCCAGAAACCCCAACAACTGGCAGCACCCTTTTGCTATCCGACGATGGATCTACGCCAACTAGAAAGTTCTATACGTGCCAATACTCCCACAGGGTGGTGACTTTTGACCCACTAGCCATGTGTCCGAAATGTTCCTCGACCTCGAGAATGCAGTATGCAGTGGAGCTTGTTGCCTCGCCTGCTAAGAATAATGAAGCGGGTTGGAGTGGTGAAGAAGTAGGTGGGTTTCTGAAAGGGGTGGTGACTTACATGGTTATGGACGACTTGGAGGTCAAACCCATGTCAACGATCTCCAGTATCACTCTGCTGAACAAGTTCAACATTCAAGAAGTTGGTGCTCTGGAGGAGATATTCATCGAGATTGGGATGGATGAGGTGACCGACCCTTTTCGATACCTTAATATTGGTTGAAGAATTTGATGATGCGGAATTGAAATAGAACACAGAACAACGAATTTTACGTGGTATTCTCGATCGATTGATTGATCGAGACTAATCCACGGTGAGCTCGGAAGAGCTCACGACTGACGTTTTATTATTTGAGGACTACATCTTGACGGCTTGCTTACGACATGACCATGCTAAGCTTTTATAGATATAGACTTAGGGTTAAAACCCTAATGACAACCAAGTTTCCTTCTTTTACTTGAACAAGGAAAACTAGGGACTTGTAGGACAAGGAATTAATTACTTCTTGACTAAGTAATTAATATCCTCAACACTCCCCCTCAAGCGAAGACATGAATGATGAGAATGCCGAGTTTGAAACTGAACAACAGTCAAACAACCTCTTGTTGGCAATGACGATCCAACAAACTGTGACTTTGTTCACTTGTGGGAGAGGTAGACAAATGACGAAACTACTTCATGCTTGACCCAGTTCTTTTAACAGTGAACTCAGCATTGGCGAAACTCCTTGACGTTGTGGATGAGACTGATCCTACTCCATGCTTGACCCAGTTCTTTGACAATTAACTCAGCATGGCGGAATCCCTTGACGTCTTGGATGAGACAAAAGACTGATGACTGCGTTGCTAACTTTGGAGTCTTCTACCTGCAGTGCTAGCTGTGCTTCTCCATGCAACTTGAGTGATAGATAGACACGGTCGACTTGATGACTGAACTAGTCGACCTATGATTCCCTATGATTCCCTATTCTCTCCCTCAAGTTGGAGCATGAACGTAGTGAATGCCCAACTTGAAAGTTAAAATGGTGAAGATTGAAATTTACCTGAATACTGAGGGGACAATCGCTTCTTAGATTGTGACTACCTCAATGTACGATTGGAAAAACTTCGATGGCGAACGCCGTTGTATCTTCCCAACACGAGCTACCACCGCCGCTACACGATTGTCTTCAACGCCATGGTATTGGTGAAGATTTGCCTTCTCAAACTGAATTAACCAAGCTGAATTAACCAAACAACACATGAATTGATCTAATTCAATGAAAAGAACAAAAGTTCTGCATCCTTGTCCACAAAACAACAACCAAAGTGGAGCACTGAATTGAGAAGCAAACAGCTTCGTGTACATTTGGGCGGGACAAGGTGAAGGGGAATAATAGAGCTTGTTGTCATTAGGAACGGAAGGCTAGAGGGTTCTAGGGGATGGAAGGGCCCAAAAACGAACTCACTGATACCAATGGGGAGAAGACTCGCCGCAACGATTGGAAGATCGAATTGGAGTCCAAGACGTGGATATGTGACGTCGCGGCCCAGGGGCGGAGCTATGTAGGCTCTCGGGGGGCCCCGGCCCCCCCGAGAATTTTGAAACTTACGTATAAAGTCCTAGGTAATTGCGAGAATTACGTATAAACTCAATGTAACAAGTATATAAAATAAGAGTGAAATATTCTTAACAGCCTACATTTCTAGTGTAGCGGAGAAGCTAGCATTTGTAGCTATAAGGTTCAGGGTTCGACCCTGATAGACAGCATTATTTTTATAATTTTAACAATTTTTTTCCAGTTTAATCCTCTAATTTTTCTATTTTGTCTTATAAATCCTGTAATTTTAAATAAATTCAGTCAAGTTTTTAAACTTTTGGACTTTGCTACGGTGACATGCATGTCACGGTGACATGCACTTTTCGGTCGACCTCATATAGGATCAGGTCGACCTAATCAGTTGTTTCAGTGTACAAACAGTTTCATGGTGCCTACTTTGGAGATTCATATCTTACAATTGACTAGATGGAAATTGGAGATTAAAGGCTTGTTTTGAAGCTGAAGTGTCCCTCTACACATTAAAGTACTTGGGAGCTCAATAGAAAGTCCAGAAGACCATTTTTGAACCTGATCAAAAGGCTATGCCAAAACTGGGAAACTGCCTGAAAATGGCTAAGTCTGGCAACATGTTTGTCAAGCCTACTTTGGAGCTCAATTTGACAAGCATGGATGCGAGCCAAGTCCAGGGGCCTTTACCACGTTAAATTACGTATTTTTTTATACAAAGGCAAGGCAAGGCATTGAATGAAAGATTGAATATCTTTAAGGCTTCAAACAAAAGGCTCGAAGTTGCTACGAAGCCTGTTTTTCTGGCAGCTTGCTTGTGCTCGAAGTCTGCCAGAAAAACAGCCTTCGTAGCAACTTCGACCCTTTTGTTTGAAGCCTTAAAAATATCCAATCTTTCATCCAACTCCTTGAATTTGTATAAAAACATACCTAATTTAATGTGGTAGAGGCTCCTGGACTCGACTCGCATTCATGCTTCTCGAATTGAGCTCAAAAATAGGCTTCACAAACACGTTTTCAGACTTAGCCATTTCTAGGCAGTTTCCCAGTTTTGGCATAGCCTTTTGATGAGGTTCAAAAATGGTATTCTGGACTTCCTATCGAGCTCTCAATCACTTCAATATGTAGAGGGACACTCCAGCTTCAAAACAAGTCATTAGTCTTCAATTTCCATCTAGCCAATTGTATGATTTGAATATCCAAAGTAGGCACCATGAACTGTTTTTACACTAAAACAACATATTAGGTCGACCGGATCCTATATGAGGTCGACCGAATCCTAAATGAGGTCGACCGGATCCTATATGAGGTCGACCGAATTCTATGTGAGGTCGACCTAATCCTAACTGAGGTCGACCGGAAAGTGCAAGTCACCGTGACATGCATGTCACCGTAGGCACACCCTAAACTTTTACATTCATATTTTCAAAGATTGTTTTTATATGTAATTAATTAATTTTTAAAAACAATAATATAATCATAAATTCATATTCAAGGTATAAAACAATTACATGTTAAAATGCATGATAATTTTTGCTCACAATATAAACATTAATTTTGAGTATAACATACTGGAAAACTTTAAATTATTTATATTTTGAGTTTTTTTATTTTAATTAATATGTGTCGTTATTATTTATTTTTATCTTTGGATTTTCACAATAATTTACTAAATAAATCCGCCCCCCCCCCCCCCCGAACTTTCAATCCTGGCTCCGCCCCTGTCGCGGCCTGATCCCCCACTTGATGCTGGGTCGAAGAGAGTACGCTGACCTTGATGAAGACAATCCCGCCGCAACGACCGGGTTTCTCGACAAAACACAAACAGAAACTTCGACCTTTATATAGCCTAGCGTGGCCGTTGACTAGACGAGGGTTTGAAACCTTTATGTGCGACCACAGCCAGACATGGACGTGCACAACGGCCGCGGCATACTGGCGATGATGACGTTGCAATGGCGATGCACGGATAGTGGGAATCTTCCCTCCAGTTCTCAAGCTTGACTCTTCTTCGGACTTGAGGAAGCAGCTCAAAACTTAGGAGCATTGTTGACGCCGACTTGGATCCAAAACAAACCTTCTCGCAGCCGTTCCTTTTAGCATCCTCGTCGTCTGGCGACTGGCGATGATGACGACCAGCCGTGACAAGGACGACGATAGATAACAAGAGCACAACCGATGATGACGGACGCCGACTTTGATACGGATCCGGAGTAGAAGGCCGGAGTGGACATCGACTCTTCTTTCAACGGCAAATGTGACTATCGAGGTGACATCGGGATGATGTTGGAGAGACGTCAACATTGAGTTGATTGCCGGCGGTGGCTTCTGTGAAGGTAGCTTTTGAAATTGACTGACGACGGCAATTGACGATTGATGACATCAGGGACGGCAGATCCCATCGACCTCAGTGCGGACTCGTCGGACATGACGGGGACAATGCACAGAAGAACCAAAACGAGGGCAGAAGCGCAAACCCTAACAATGGACCGAGGTTAGCTCTGATACCATGAAGAATTTGATGATACGGAATTGAAATAGAACACAGAACAACGAATTTTACGTGGTATCCTCGATCGATTGATTGATCGAGACTAATCACGGCTGACGTTTTATTATTCGAGGACTACATCTTGATGGCTTGCTTACGACATGACCGTAGCTAAGCTTTTATAGATATAGACTTAGGGTTAAAACCCTAATGACAACCAAATTTCCTTCTTTTACTTGAACAAGGAAAACTAGTGACTTGTAGGACAAGGAATTAATTACTTTTTGACTAAGTAATTAATATCCTCAACATTGTTTCCTGGAAATTCCTGGTTTGATCTATTTGAATGGTTTGGGAACTAATAATGATCAGTGAAAATGGTTTGCGTTTGCTTCTTTTGTTTGTTTGTTTGTTTTAGGGTTGGATCTGCTGAAGGCTTCTCTGCAGTCAAAGACAGTCCTGACGGATGTCTTCCTTGGAGCATCATCAAGCACTGCTTAATCGACGATCAGTTCATCACGGGAGTGTAATCTATATATGTGTTCCTCTGCATTCATTGTTGTTACATTCCCTTTGGCTTTGAACGCTTGCTGTTTAATTTTCCACTTAGTTATGAATCTTAATAACGGATCCCGACATTGTTCAGTCTCTTTTGTAAGGATGGGTGTTTTAGGATTGTGATGGGTCCTTTGGGTTGATCAGCTGTCTCTTAAGTTATTGTCTCTGTTTGTAACAACTAACAACGTATGAGTGAGAAGATAGTTTTTCTGACTTCGTTGTCGAAAGTTCTTGACTCCTCGTTTACCTTTATCAATGGTTTTTCATTTTGTGTTTCCATTTAGTTTAAGAAATCGATTGAGCATATAAACTATAGATCCACCGGATCATGCAAACTACCAAGCCCGCTTTAAGAATGTAGGGTTCATGTTCTATAAATAAAATGAGGTCCATTTTTTCTTTAAAACTTAATAATAAATAAATACAAATTATTTTTAAAAAATATAATTTAAAATAAAGAGCGATAATAGTTCACAATTAATCAAACAACTAGGACTCACCTAAACAGGTGATGAGAACTTAATTGAGTAAAAAAGGAGAATACCTTTAGATGAATCACCGAGTATGAAAAAATATTTGAGAAGAAAATATTAGATAGGAGAAGCTTATAATTTTTAAAACTAAAAT